AAATCTTCCCTGAAATATGTACGTGGTTTTATACTCGCCTGTTACTTTTTTATCACAAATACGATCTAGCCGCCAAAGTTATAATATTTTCATAAGATAAAAACTGGGGCATTCCCTTCTCCTTTGGCGCCCTAGGTATACGCTTGTTTTTGCTTAATGGCTACTCCAGCTCCGCATATGAGGAACTCTAATCCAATTAAGATCCAAACAAGATAATCCATTTAAATTTTAATTTCTACGTCGATGGCAATAAATTATTCTGTTTAATTTCAAATTGCGCATGTCCCCGTTCAACGAAGTCAGAACTGACATTGCTGTCGCTACGAGCTAAAAATATTTCTTTTGCGCTTGAGGGAAGTGATATCAAACATCACTATATATATATATATATATATATATATATATATATATATATCGGACAGATACAGTCGATTGCCTGAAAGCTGTGATAGATAGATCTTCATAGATAGAAAGATGATAGTAAACAGACTGAAACAGATAGATCGTATATGAACAAACTTCAGAGAGATAGATAGATAGATCAGATCACGAATTTAATTCTTGCCAAACTGTGATAGATAGATAGATAGATAGATAGATAGATAGATATGAACAGACTAGATAGGAATAGATGAGATGGATAGATATGAACAAACAGAAATAGAAATAGATAGATAGATAGATAGGAATAGGCTGAGATGGAGAGATAGAGAGATATGAACAGACTGAAATAGATAGATAGATAGATAGGAATAGGCTGAGATGGAGAGATAGAGAGATATGAACAGACTGAAATAGATAGATAGATATAGATAGATAGATAGATAGATAGATAGATAGAGATATGAACAGACTGAGATAGATAGATAGATAGATAGATAGATAGATAGATAGATAGATAGATAGATAGATCAACCTGGTGTCATGGTAACTAATCTGATTTCGCAACCAATTAGAATACTCAGAAGTTCGATCCACACTTCGTGCTCAAAAGTATTTAACTTGTGCCAGACTTGCGAACATAAATATATACGTATAAACATATATTTACAAAGTGTTGACGTCTTGTTGCCGAGTAGTGTTTAACAAACTGTCATGAGTTCAATCCTCATCGATAGTCCTTCATTTCTTACATCCGCTTACACATTTTCTGACAAAAATGTTCACTCCATAGCCTCTCAAGGTAGAAGGTTACAGTGGAAGTAGCGAAGTTTATGTGGGGAAGATGCCAGTTAAGATTGTACTAATCGGGGAAGCATCCACTTGGGAGTTGGTTCCATAAAGAAGCTGCTCGAGTGGAACTTAGGTCTCTCCAATTTAATATGGATGTAATGAGTGTTGTTCGCTACAATATATTTGGCGTGGCCGGCCTTAGCCGTGAAGGTTACTAATTTGAACACTTTCCATGGAAATATGGACAGACCAGAGAGAGGCTTGCAACCAGGGCCAGTGCAAGGATCTTTATGACACACAGCCCCCAATCTATGATACGCCCCCACTCAATCTATGAAACGGGCCCCCTATTCTACTACATCTCAATTTCCATAAGTAGCATTCATATAAAATACACATTTTATTGAATAATAATGGATCATATGCAATATAGAAAATAAATACAATGTATCTAAATACAAATTAGAGACATGTCATAATCGATCATCATCATCATGTCCCTTGACTGCTTCAATCGTCCGGGGTGGGGTCTCTATGAACAAAAGAAACAGACAACAAAAGAAACAGCTCTCCACTTAGCAACATCTCAATTTTCATAAAGTAATCTTCATATAAAATACAACTTTTATTGTAACCCAATTATGTACAATAATGGCGCCTATGCAATATAGTTGAACAATTCAACGAGAAAAATTGAAAATAAATCCAATGTATCTAAATACAAATTAGAGACATGTCATAAGAGATCCTCCTCCTCCTCCTCCTCCTCTTCCTCATCATCATATCCTTTTACTGCTTCAATCGTCGGAGTGGGGGTGGGGCTATGAACAGAAGAAACAGACAACTTCCACCCGTGGATCTTGGTAGGGAAGGTGCAAAGGTCTCGTCCCCCACATCTGAATCAATGATACCAGCTCCCGCACTCTACGACATCTCAATTTTCATAAGGTAGTCTAGTCTTCATATAAAATACAAATTTTATTGCAACCAAATTATGTAAAATAATGAATCATATGCAATATAGGCGAATAATTCAACTAGAAAAATTGAAAATAAATCCAATGTATCTAAATACGAATTAGAAACCTGTCATAATAGATCATCATCATCTCTTGTCTGCTTCAATCATTATCAAAAATCTGATCGTCACGATTCTAAAAGCGAAAATACCTATATTGTGCCTACTGCGCAGACTCATTAACCTGTTTTTTTTTTCATATAATGGGCAATCTTACCTGATCTGTATGTAATTTTTCACAAAAATAGAATAATATTCTTCTAATTTAGTTTTATGATAATTCTTATTTTATTTTACATTTGTAAGTATTATTAGGTACATATGATTGTATTTGACATCCTTATGGGGTCGCAATCGCCGAATGTTTGTGTGAAATTGTCGTATGTTTGTGGTGAGTAGTCATTTCGCAATTGAAATCGACCCATGAAACGGCAATTTTTGGAAGACTGTTTTTGTAGCTGTGCATAATACGCACTCATAATTTTGATTATTATTTTTTAGAAAAAAATGCGTATTATACATGGGGAAATAATGTACTTAGAAATAATATATACTCAGGGCTGATGTAAGTGTCACATGCCCCCACCTCCCACTCTACATCTCAATATTCATATAAAATAGAAAATTTTATTGTAACCAAATTATCTACAATAATGAATCCTATGCAATATAGGGCAACAATTTCACTAGGAATATTGTAAATAAATCCAATGTATCTAAATACAAATTAGAGACCTGTCATAATAGATTATCATCATTTTTCATGACTGCTTCAATCCTTGGTTGCTAAGAACAGTCTCGAGGTTTCGTTCCCCACCTCTGAATCTATGATACCAGCTCTCCACTCGGCTAGATCTCAATTTTCATAAGGTAGTCTTCATATAAAATACAAATTTTATTGTAATCGAATTATGTACAGTATTGTATCATATTGGATCAAATAATTACAATTTAACTAGGAATATTGTAAATAAATACAATGTATCTAAATACAAATTAGAGACCTGTCATAATAGATCATCATCATCATCGTATCCCTTGACGGCTTCAATCGTCGGGGGTGGGGGGCTATGAACAGAAGAAACAGACAACTTCCTTCTGTAGATCTTGGTAGGGCTGGCCCAAAGGTCTCGTTCCTCACCTATGAATCTATGATACCAGTTCTCAACTCAACTACATCTCAGTTTTCATAAGGTAGTCTTTATATAAAATACAAATTTTATTGTAACCTAATTATCTACAATAATGGATCATATGCAATATAGTTTAACAATTCAGCTAGAAAAATTAATAATAAATACAATGTATCTAAATAAAAAATTAGAGACACGTCATAATAGATCACTCATTTTTAAATAAATCAACAATGTTTTGCGTAATTTTTAACATCGATGTGAGATTTTTCTTGTTAAAAACTTGAATAATTTTAGCACATTCAACATCATGGAGGAAAAAATAGTGAATTTTATATTGCTTTTGGGGTTTTTTTTTTCTAGTTTCTATTTTTTACATTTTTTATAAAGATAAAACCGAGAAAATAATGACTTAAAAAATAAAAATGTTTAAAGATTTCAACAGATGAAAAATTTTCCCGAAAAATAATATACTGTTTTTAAAACAAATTTTTAACACAATCACATTCAACATCATGGATGCAAAAATAGTGAATTTTATATTGCTTTTGGGGGTTTTTTTTAGCATGAGAAAAACAAATTCACAGATTTGGATGAAAAAAAAAAAAAAAGCAAAAAAGTAGACCCTAGAATGACGTCAAAATTCGCAAAGATTTTTCATCCTTTAATAGTTGCGCTTAGTTTAATTTGTATACAAATGTAGATATTAGGTTGGTGCAAAAATAATGACGTAATTTTTTTTTACGTTAAAAAATACGTCAAAAAACGACATTATTACGTCATTATTTTTGCACCAACCCAATAAAAAAAAGCAAGTGTTAAGATAGACCGAGGCTCACAATCAGGTCATGCCCCCGAAAATCCCGACCAGGGTGGGGGGCGTTTTTTGGACCCTGTTGTGGCATGGGGCACAACAGGGTCCAAAAACTGACTGACGCTACATTGTCTAATACTATATATACCGTGTAACTGCATGTCTAATGCTGTACGTTTCACACAGGAACCCCGAACGAGGTTGACCCCCCAAAAGGTCTAGTTTCAGTAGCGGTTTTTGTTTCTTTGATTTGACTTTTTGTCCTTTTTTTTGTACCTAAGTTATACTGTCAATCATCAACTATAATAATCGACAGCCGGTGCTTACTACCCCTAACCACTCAACCGCGTGGGGGCCCGCATGCCTACTGGGAAGAGGTGGGCAGAAGTGATAATTTTAGTACCGGTTATTTTTCTTTCTGAACTCTTCTTTTAAATCAATTAAGAGGGTAATATATTTCGGTAAAATGATTCTTTTATTCCGAGAATAAGAAGAATCTCTGATTATTCTTTTACTGACAGTGAAACCAACCAAAATTTCTAGTTTCTATTTTTTACATTTTTTACAAAGATAAAAACGAGAAAATTATTGCTTAAAAAATAAAAATGTTTAAAGATTTCAACAGATGAAAAATTTTCCCGAAAAATAATATACTGTTTTTAAAACAAATTTTTAACACAATCCCATTTGTGTTGTGTTGGAATCTTTGTAAAACTCTTTTTTTTGTTCAGCGGAGATGCGTTGGTGATTAATCTTTATGGAAATATAAAAATTTGCGCCTTAAACATTTTTTTCCGAGTAAAATTTAGCCATGAAAATATTTGTGGTTATTATAAAAAATAACATTTTCTCATATACTTTTTTAAATAAAAAAATATATATTCATTATAAAAGTAAATAATTAATTTATATATACTGAACTTTTCATTTAAATTGTATAATTTCCTGATTTTTGGTAATTTGATAAAAGCACTGCCCTTCCTTGCCCCTAATTTTTTTTCAAGGTTTTATGTCCCCCAAGTTGTGAAATTCTGAAATAGTCATATAGTAGAGAGCGGGGGCCCAGTATTAAACTTGCGACGAGACGCTAGTGCCGGCCCTGGGTTCGGGGTAAGTAGGAAGCGGTCTTTTCTTTTTTTTTTTTTTTTTTTTTTAAGCGTCTCACCCCAAGCAAGGCGAGAAGCCACTAAGACGCAAGGGGGTTACAGAAAATTTGGAGCAAGATCAGATAGGAGTGATAGAAGAAAGGATGAGGGTAGTGGATAGATCAAGGCAACTGGAGATGTCGATTGATATTGCACATGAATAGCTGGAGATTATAGCTCTCAGGGAAACTGGAATAGGGAAGGGAGTTCCACAGGTGACAGTGAAAGGGTGAGAGCGGGATGCCAGCCTCGTAGGGTCTTCGGTTGAACTAAGGAATGTGTTTCGTCTGAACAATTTTCTTCGGAAATAGCGACAGAGCAGCGAAAGGCTTACGAGGTTTCGTCTGTTGGGGAGTGGCCCAAGACCTATCTTAGGAGCCAAAAAAAAAAAAAAAAAAAACAAAAACACAAAGCTTACTAACCACTGATCTGTGGGTGGCACCCCTAAATTTTTATTATTATTGATATTATTAATGCCAGAAGTTTTACAAAATATTTAGCGTATCCGATTTCGAAAGAAAACATTCAGTTTCCTGATCCCAAACAAGTCAAACTTTCCTGCTGGGTAATGTACTAGTTGACTAAATTGATGCTGTTAGTGTTTGCTTAGTGACTTTTTAAATAAGAACGTACGAAGAAGACCATTTCAATAAAATATTTTGCTTGAAATCTGCAGGGCCATCCGAGAAAACTCCTTTTCCTATTCTTAATGGTGTTATTGACATCGGAATAATTCTTTTGAAAGACGAGAATTTCCGAAAACATGTTTTCCTCTAATTCTGGGAGGCTCAGCTCTCGTATCAGACAAGAGATCACTGCCCGTAGGCCTGTCGCACTCAGATATACATACATATATATATACATATATATATATATATATATATATATATATATATATATATATATATATATATATATATATATAAACACATGTATATGTATAAATATAATTACACACACACATATATATATAAAAAATTATAAATATATATTGAAAATTATATATATATAAATATATTTTAAATTATAACAATCCTATATATATGTGCGTATGTGTGTGTGTGTTTAGTAAGTGAATATATATATATGCACTTGTGCATACACACACACGCACACACACACACACACACACACACACACACACACACATATATATATATATATATATATATATAGATAGATATTTATATATATGATTATTTAGCAAATATCTGAAAAGTACTTTTCGCCCCTAATATATATATAAACTTGCAAATACAAATATATATTTTCCTACTCATATATATATATATATATATATATATATATATATATATATATATATATATAATAAATTAATTGATTTAAAATATGGTTTTTCCGCTACATAGTTCTAACCATGTTTCAAAAATGGAAGCTAAAAGCCCGAATTTAATTTTGTAATTAAATTAAGGACATTAGTTCCATTTCTTCCTCAAGCAATTTTGGAGTAACTTTTAAAATTACTGGGTTTTAAAGACACAGCTAAAATCATAATTCATGTTTCCAAGGTTACAGATAAATCCAGTTTACTAGACAAAGGGGTGTCTGGGTTTTATTATGTCTATATTTTTAATGTATCAGTTATTGCTACGTTTTGGTAGTGGGTAGGGATGTATTTTTCAATGAAATCTAACATCCGTTAAAAAGCGTGTCGTCTGGATTTTTAAAATTTTATTGTTGACGGCAAAAATTCTTACGGCATTTTTCCTTCGTATATTTAAAAATTTTTTCAGGGTGTTTAGGTTAGAATACTTTTTATTTAACTACGATTTGAAATATTTTTACTTTTAATTTTTAATATACTATATTTCTTTCAAGAACAATTAAATGTAATTAGAATCCCTTACAGTTTGTAGAATTATTATCACATCAAGTATATTACGATTCTTAAAAATTTTATATTTAAATATTATTTAAGTAAAAAATTTTTTTCCACTTACGGCAAAAAAGCTAATTCATTTCTCTGTTTTAGTAAACTTTATTTATTTATTTAATTACAATTTTAAAAAAGTTTAGGTTAGAATTCATTTTAATTAACTACAATTGTAATTACAACTTTAAAATAGTTTCATTGTTAGTTTTTATAGACTATATTTCATTTAATAGAAGTAAATGTATTAGAATTACTTACTGTAAGTAAAATTATTTTTCCATATCAAGTATATCTCTATTAAGATTTTTTTTAAATTTTAATTTAAATATTATTTAAGTAAAATTTTTGGCACTTACGGCAAAAATAGCTAATTCATTTCTCTGATTTAGTAAACTTTACTTATTTATTTTTTTTTAATATAAACTTAGTAATATATAGTTGCACATGTATGTACAAAGGACATGGGTCATTCAATGGCCTACATCCTCTAGCTTTTCGTCATAATTTCATTTTTCGGTAGGTGTTTTATTGGATACATTTGAGTGTCGGTATTACTTTTTGATAGGTGTTTAGGTTAGAATACGTTTTATTTTACTACAATTTTAAAAGGTGTTTAGGTTAGAATTCGTACATTGGCTCCTAATCAAAGTCGAGCACTCTAAATCTTTATTTTTAACAAGAAGAAAATATGGAGAAAATTAATTTCGGAATTTCTCTGAAGAACATTCCTAATACCAACAGAAAGTAATATTTCGTGATATTAATGAAAAAAAAAAACAAAAAAAACAAAACAGAGGAACTCATACGAATGATGGATTATTTCCAGTAGATTCTTTTCGAAAACGGACAAACTATGAGTAAATGGTGCTGCTTTTTTACTGTTAAAACCGTAAGTTTCCTTGTAGTTATTATTTTGTGAATCGTTCTTATTAAGGAAGAAGTAAGCTCTTCATCTCATCCTAAGCTGATCTTCGTTTTTCCGTTATTCTCAGTGACCGGTTATATAGTCTTTCTCTTGCACTTATGCAAATTAGGCATATTAATTTGCCAGTATCATTACAGAAACCAAGCATATTAAGAGCATTTTGTTTTCACAGTTGGAAAGAAACTCCAACCAAAGACATCCCAATTGAATGCGCCTATTCCATTGTACATGATACTACTGCTGTATCAAAAGGAACTTAAATAACATTGAAAATCACAGACAATCAAGAAAGGAAATTTTTACCATAGTTCACAAAGGTTTTATTTCTGCTGTTAGCTTTATTAAATGATTTGATGGTCTTGGTATATTCAGTCGTGTAATTTTAAAGACTTAGGGTCTGATTGTTATTGCAAAAATAGTATTTCTCAATAAGCAGACCAATATTTGTTGGTTTAAATAAGAATTGAGAGGTTTCTACGATTTTATTTTGAGAAATATTGTCATCAGTCAATCATATATACAGAAAACAAATGAAAAAATTTTTTTTTTTTCTAAAAATGACGCATTTTTGTACAGCAAAACGTTAGTCAACCCCCAAAAAGTTAGGTCATTTTCAAATTCAGCGCCCTCAATTTTGCTAAAAAAGATGATTTGTTGTTGTTGACGAGAGTTATTCAATTAAAAATTCCAGTTCAACGGAAAATTCGAATAGGAAAGGCCCATATTGCTAGAAGTATGGACATAAATTAATAATTACCTGCGAGTCACATCTGTTTGGTAGCCGTCATGATATGTTTGGGGCCCTCTTTTTTCTTTTGTAATCCACGCAATATGAGTCAGAACAAAAACAAAGGTGACAATGAAAATGACATAAATTCTTGAGAGGAGCAAGAAGTGATCCATTGATTTGATTTTGAAGACACTGACTCTGAAAGAAAGAAAAGGCTTGGAAGACAGCATAGAAATAAAGAAAAGAATGAATGGGTAGATTGGTTTGATTTCTTTTACGGCATATCAACACCTCAATGGGTTATTTAATGCCAACAAGATTTTTAGGATAGGATCGTATGAATAGAATATGTATTCATTCTAAGAAATCAGTTTGTAAATCAGGTTTCATTGACGTATTTTTGTAGAGGTTATTTTTGTCGAGAGTCTGGTTTGGTTTGTTTTATTTTACGGCATATCAACACCTCAATGGGTTATTTAATGTCGACAAGGTTTTTAGCATAGGTCTGTATGAATAGAATATGTATTCTTTGTAAGAAATCAGTTTCTAGATCACGTTTCATTGACGTATGTTTGTAAAGGTTTTTTTTGTCGGGAGTCTGGTTTCGTTTATTTTATTTTACGGCATATCAACACCTCAATGGGTTATTTATGCCGACAACATATTGTGCTGGTAAATTTTTCAAAAATGTATTACTGGTATTAAAATCTATTTTAACACTTTCATAGTTTTTTGACCTCAGTTTGGGGTTAACTATTTACCCATAGCTGGTGCTAACAAGTGCTACTATCCCGGGTCAGGGTGGACGTTGAACCACTAGAAATTAAGAGGGGTTCCACGATCCTCCAAATTTCTTGATCAGAGGCCTTGCTGCTGGATGTAGTTTATCGTCATTCCCAGTACGTAAAGAAAGAAAGAAAGAAAGAGAGAAAGAAAGAAAGAAAGAAAGAAAGACACTCTTGAAGGAGAACAACCGATAAAAAAAAGGTAGATAGGTTGCAAATAGGGTTTTTAGAAAAATCTGTCTTAAAAATCAAATTTCGACACCCACAAAAATCGCTTGAAGAAAGAAAGTAAATGGCGAAAGACAGAAATAAATAAAAGCTAAATGAATGAATGAAAAGACAAAAAGTAAGAAAGATGGCAACCAATAAATGAATGTAAAAAA